TTCTGCCAGCAGCGCGCGGCAAACGAGCTTGAGCAGATGAGCAAGACAGAACAAAGCAATTCCTAGTGTAATCCTCGTGAGAAGTTGCTCACACGTCCTTCCGCGCGCAGGGCAGCCCGCAATGGATTATTCCGCCGGAGAGAGAAAACCCCAAACCTTCTCCAGCCCGCCCAACAGTGGAGGGAAACATTCCCGTGTCGCCGCGCGCGCCGACCAGGCGCCAGTAGGAGTTCCACCGAGAGTGCGAGGCACGCGATGTTGAACAAAACCGCAAATCAAAATGAAGCACATTTGCATTGCAGAGGTCATGAGAAGATGCTCACAAATCCTCCTGTGCGCAAGGTAGCCCACGACGGATTCTTCCGTTGGAGAAATACCCAGCCCGCCCAACAATGAAGGGAAACTGATCCCGCGTCGCCGCGCGTGCTCACAAGGCGCCAGCGGGAGTTTGCCAGCAGTGCTGGGCAAACGACTGTGCGCGAACTCGCGGATCAAAACGAATTTAACCCCTATTGCAATCCTCGTGAGAAGATGTTTACAAGTCCTCCCGCATGCAGGGCAGCCCACAATATAATATCTTGCTGGAGAAATGACCTCCAAACATTATCTCTCCCGCCCAACGATAAAGGGAAAACAATATCACGTTGCCGCGCGCGCCGACCAGGCGCCAGCAGGAGTTCTGCAAGCAGTGCTGAGCAAACGAGTTTGCGCAAATTCGCAAATCACAACGAAGCAATTCCGATTGCAACCCTCAAGATATGAGAAGATGCTCACACATCCTCCCGCGTGCAGGGTAGCCCACTATGAATTATTTCGCTGGAGAAATAACCTCCAAGCATTACCCAGCCCGCCCAACAATACAGGGAAAATCGGATTGTGTCTGAGCTTTCCTTGGGTTTGGGGTGATTTTCTCGCCTCGGGCTGCTTCCCAGCAGCTTCGCCTCGTCGAGGGCGTTCTGGCGGCGCCCAGATCGTCAAAAACAATCACGGGAAGCCCGCGCTATGGCCCGAAAGCCAGACCTCCTCGCGTTGCGAAACAACACAACGGAGGGGTTGGGTGTCATTTTCAATTTCTGAGGACCCTCGCCAGACCTCGGGGCCGCCAAAAAAGGGTTCGAGGCGAGGAATAGATCCCTAGGAAAGGGTCGAGACCTCTGGGGGGCCACTTCGTGAAAAAATCACGATGTCGAAGATCTGGGGAGGAAGGGTTTTAAGTTCGGCTGAACGCGCGGCTAAGAGGGTGGGACCACCTCGGCGACAGTCGAGACCAACGCCGTCGTAGACCGCCTCGAAATTAGTTTCACTTCACAACCGCGCTGGGGGGGGAGTCTGTAGGGGTGGAGGAGGAGCCTAACCAGGGGAAGGAGGGGCGAGACCTGCAGCCGCCCCTGCGCAGGGTGGCATGACCCCCTGGCCCAGAAATCGGTGTCAGTTGCACCTTGCCTTCTTCGGCACTGTGGGGGGTGGGCCCGTGCCTCTGAGCCGATTGGCATTTTGGAAGGGGCAGGGAGGGAAAGCTCGTCGCCTCGACCGGACACGGCGTTGAAAAACTGACCGGGTCGGGCACGTGAGGAACGCGGCGCCCGCTTTGAGCGGATGCTGTTCGAGTTAAGGATCAGATCGCACGAAACCTTCAACCATGAAAGCGACCCCTGATGCAGCGATGCACTCACTCAGTGACCAACGATGGCTTGGACATACGAAGAAAAAATTAGACTGGCGAAGGACCCAACCATATGCACTTGTGAATACCGTCGTTGTGTGCCCCGCATTCGGAGGAGCCCTATGCGGCCACGAAACGTGTGAGGGGTGTGCCGAAATAGGTGCGGTGTGCGCATGCGTAAGCGAGAGGTGTGCCGAAATAGGTGCGGTGGGCGCATGCGAACGCAGCCACTGGGGCCTTCGGTGGAGCTCCCGATGGGGCCACGAAACGTGTGAGGGGTGTGCCGAAATGGGTGCTGTGGGCGCATGCGAACGCAGCCACTGGGGCCTTTGGTGGAGCTCCCTATGGGGCCACGAAGCGCGTGAGGGGTGTGCTGAACTGGGTGCGCGTGACGCATGCGGGCGGTGGCACTGGGGTCTTCGGTAGAGCTCCCCATGGGGCCACGAAACGTGTCAGGGGTGTGCCGAAATGGCTCACGCATGCGGGCGGTGGCACTGGGGCCTTCGGAGGAGCTCCCTATGGGGCCACGAAACGTGTAAGGGGTGTGCCGAAATGCGTGTGGGTGACGCATGCGGGCGGTGGCACTGGAGCCTTCGGTGGAGCTCCCTATGGGACCACGAAACGTGCGATGAATGTGCCGAAATGCGTGTGGGTGACGCATGCGGGCGGTGGCACTGGGGCCTTCGGGTGGGCTCCCCATGGGGCCACGAAACGTGTCAGGGGTGTGCCGAAATGAATGTGGCTCACGCGTACGGGCGGTGGCACTGGGGCCTTCGGTGGAGCTCCCTATGGGGCCACGAAACGTGTGAGGGGTGTGCCGAAATGCGTGTGGCTGAC